CAGCAGCAGCAGCAGCAGCAGCAGCAGCAGTAACAGCAGCAACAGTAGCAATAGCAGCAGTTGCAACAGTTAACAGTAGCAGCAGTAGCAGTAGAAGTAACAGCAGCAGCAGTAGCAACAACAACTAGCTAGCAACAGTAGCATCAGCAGCAACAGTAGCAGTAGCAGCAACAGTAGCAGCAGCAACAGCAATAGTAGTAGTAGCAGCAGCAGCAGCGACAGTAACAGCAGCAACAGTAGCAATAGCAGCAGTTGCAACAGTTAACAGTAGCAGCAGTAGCAGTAGTAGTAACAGCAGCAGCAGTAGCAACAACAACTAGCTAGCAACAGTAGCAGCAGCAGCAACAGTATCAGTAGCAGCAGTAGTAGCAGTAGCAACAGGATCAGTAGCAGTAACAGCAGCAGTAGCAGCAACAGTAACAGCAGCAGTAGCCGCAGTAACGGTAGCAGCAGTAATAGCAGTAGCAGCAACAGCAGCAGTAGCAGCAGTAGCAGGAGCAACAGCAGGAGCAGTAACAGCAGCAGCAGCAGCACCAGTAGGATCAACAGCAGCAGCCGTAGCAGTAGCAGCAGCAGAAGCAGTAGCAGCAACACCAGCAGTAGCAGCAGCAACAGCAGTAGTAGTAGTAGCAGCAGCAGCGACAGCAGCAGTAACAGCAGCAATAGCAGCAGTAGCAGTAGCAGTAGCAGCAGTAGCAGTAGCAGAAACAACTAGCTAGCAACAGTATCAGTAGCTGCAGTAGTAGCAGTAGCAGTAGCAGCAGTAGCAACAGTAGCAGCAGCAGTTAGAGTAGCAGTAGCAGCAACAGTAGCAGTATCAGCAGCAGCAGTAGCAGCAGCAGTAGCAGCAGTAGTAGCAGCAGAAGCAGCAGCAGCAGTAGCAGTAGCAGCAGTAATAGTAGCAGCAGCTGCAGCCGCAGCAGCAGTAACAGTAGCAACAGCAGCAGTAGCCGCAGCAGCAGTAGCAGTAGCAGTAGCAGTAATAGCAGCAGCAGCAGCAGTAGCAGTATCAGTAGCAGTAATAGCAGCAGTAGCAGTAGCAGTAACAGCAGCAGCAGTAGCAGCAACAGTAGCAACAGTAGCAACAGCAATAGCAACAGCAACAGTAACAGCAGCAATAGCAGTCAGTAGCAGTAGCAGCAGCAGCAGCAGCAGCAGTAGTCTAGCAGAAGGAAGCTCGGCAATTCCTCCTTTCCAGGTTATCGGTCTAGTATGTGTGAGGTAGTCTGTAGTCACCTTAAGGGTAGCGTCGGGTCACGTCGATAGATAACACGAACACAGTATTATAAAAGCTACTCTTCGTGCGTCTATTACACCACAGAATATTCGTTACAGGTGGCTTGCACTTTCACAGCCTAAACAAACAACTCTACGATACTACACAGATGTCTACACACCGACAGAATACGTAATCGAATACACGTAATTTCGTACCTTAGAGCGGGGGTTTCGCGAAGACGCTCGGCGAAGTGAAGGTGATGAGAGTAAGGAGGATTTAAGGAAAAGGGTGTAGGAGACAAAAGGGAATTTCACGAGCTCGAACAAAACTGGAATATACGGTTCAAAGGATCAGGGCCGAGTCTCTACCTGCGCGTTTTGCATCAACAAATCCGGTCCACTAATAGATGACGCAGTCTCTCTCTCTCTCTCTCTCTTTGGCTCTCTCTCTCTCTCTCTTTCTCTCTCTCTCTCTCTCTCTCTCTCTCTCTCTCTCTCTCTCGCTCGCTCTCTCTCTCCTTCCCGTTCTCGCTCTCTCTCTTTCTCTCGCTCTCGTCGTCTCTCTCTCTCTCTTTCTCGCTCTTTCTCGCTCTCTCTCTCTCTTGCTCTCTCCCTCTCTATCTCATTATCTTTTTCTTTCTCGCGCGCTATTGCCCTGTCTCTCTCTTTCTCTCTCTCTCTTTCTCTCTCTCTTGCTCTCTCTCACTCTCACTCTCTTTCTCGCTCTCTTCCTTTCTCTCCATCTCTCTCTCTCTCTACATGCATCGCTAATATTCTTTGTTATTTTCTAATATCGCATCGGTATTCACACCGGAAAAGAATTTTAAAGAATTTAAAAGAAATTGAAAAAAATTTAACGAATTTAAAAGAAATTGAAAAAAATGCATTTTGCATTGTGGAATAATTTGCATTGTGCAAAAGCGACAGAGAACACCCACGTAGTTTTGTTTCTTTAGATCGAGTCTTTATTGTTTGTTTTCATTTTTTCTTCTAAATCTTTATAATCTACGTTATTATTCTTTTTCTTGCTCTTCTTTGTTATTCTACTTTTATTCTCTCTTTGTCGTCGTTGTTGTTTTCTTCTTCCTTGCCTTTCTCTTACTTCTCATCTTCTTCCTTCCTTCTTATTTCTTCTTTCTCGTTTAATTTTTTATCGTGTGCTTCTCGTTTTCCTTCACGCCCATTAACTGCTCTTCCACCTGCTACGTTATATTCATGTAATAAAGTATGAACCAAATACTCAGGCACACTAGTTAATTCGCAGGGTCGGATACAGGAATTCTAAAGCGTCTAGAGAATACGAAACGAAAAAGTGGGGATGGGTAGCACACCCACAGGCTTTCGAAAATGTAGTCGCAATCCGTTGTAGTACCTATTATGCAGTCTCTTTCAAAGTACGCGCGTTCTATTACAATCACGACAGATTTTTGTCGCGGTGTGGGAAGACTGGCATGCAGCCACATAAAGAAGCCCTTTTTCAGCATCCGTTATTACGATAGACTGCGCATGCGCGCTATTGCAAAGATGCGCAGTTCATGCTACATAACTAAACATAAAGATTACGCGATCATACATCTGAAAGCTGTGTCAACGTATCGATTTACCTGTAGGCGTTAGTGTGATAGTGACAGGTATAAAACGCTGTGTAGGCGAATGGGCGACGCCTGCAAACGAGCTAGAAGCTGCTAGCGATTGAGTGCAAATTAGCTGATGATTTAAAGTTGGTTCCCCGCATGAACGTAGCGGTAGCGCACAGTGTGAACGAGAGTCTACTTACACTGCTAACTTAAAGGAGTGTGCGCGATATATATAAGATGCGAGCACAGCGCAGCTACGGAGGAACAACTGTGTAGACGAACGGAGACGCGTGCATCAAGGAGGCCTAGCCGTGAAGCTCTGTTTATCACGCCATCCTCACGCGCCGTCACGCGCGGAGAAGCGCCGACTTGTACGGATGGATCTTTTCACCGCAAGAAAGACGCATGCGGAATTACACGAAGCAGATATGTTAGTTTCCCGATGAACAGACGTGCATTTAGACTTACTGTTGAACCGCAGAAGCAGCGAGAAAGGGTTCTTTTCTGATGTGAAATAGAGTCGAGCGTTATCGCTGCAGTCTTATAACATAGACCAAGTACGTGGAGTATTGTAGTAGCTGCGAACATATACGGATACTGTCATTGCCAAGAGCTTGCTATCGCTAATCTTTCTTCACTCGTCACAGAGGCCACTAACAATGATTTACGCTAACACAACGTCTATGGACCACCTCGATATCGATGACAACAAAGCTGCGATTGACTTTGTAGAGTTCGTTTTTAATTCAATTCTCTCTTCAATCGTCTGCATCGTGGGTCTAATCGGAAACATCATCAACGTGATTGTGCTGTGGCGAAGTCAGCGACTACGGGCCGTCTCATACACCTACTTCCGTTGGCTAGCAGTGAGTGACCTGCTCATCATTTTACTCTACTTTGCAAGAACCATATACAAGAGCTACGACAAGAGATCGTGGGCTCTTGGATTAATACGATTCCATGCCAACGTATTTTACGTCATATTTAACAGCATGAAGTGTGTTAGCGACATTCTCATCATGATAATGACTATCGATAGGTATGTGGCTATATGTCACCCATTTAAATTTCACAAAATACGGTCTCAGAAGGCTGCTAACACTGCTGTTGTCGTAGCTGTGCTTCTATCATTCGTTATCCACATACCGAAAGCGTTCGAGAGATATGTTTTGTTGATTGAAGATGGAAACTATACCTACTACTCATACAAACGCGACAAGTATATAACCGAGAGCCATGCATGTATACATCTACGCTTGGATCATCACAAAAGAACTCATTAACAAGATGCTTCCCATCATGGTTCTCCTGATATTAAACCCGCTCATTCTGAAAGCCCACCGGGAAAGTTTAATCAAACGTCAGCGGATGCAACGGAAGCAGACGCGCGATGAACGCGAAGTTGGGCGACAGCAGCGCCGCTTGCAGGCGATGTTGCTGGCAGTGTCAATCATCTTCGTGGTTTGTACGCTGCCGTCCGTTGTTCTATCCATCGTGAGACTGGTCTTCTCACAATCCACCCGCGACACGTGGCAGTACGAGACATTCAACCAAGCCGTAAAGCTGCTAGAGGTGACTAACTTCGCCATTAATTTCTACGTCTACAGCTTGGCGAGCACCGACTTTCGCCACAGCCTGGCTGACGTCACTCGTTGCCACACCAGTGGCGCCATCTACCCGTTATCAGGGAACACTGAGGTTGAGTGAGCGCCGACGCTCCACTAAAATTTAGTACATCATACATCGATCTTCTGTGATCGTTCAGACTGCATATACGATTATTACATTTCTGTGACAAGTTACCGTATCCTATTACAATAGTAGTGAGTAATTATTGATATTTATCATATTAACAGGAGTATAATAATAACGAGGAATTTTGTGTAAGCCACTCCTGATATTCTCAGTATGGTATAGATATATACATGCGTGCGTGCGTACAATCACGCACGCACGCACGCACGCACGCACGCACGCACGCACGCACGCACGCAATCATCTGATGGTATTTACAGAACGAAAATCACAAAAGACGTAATTTCCTACGAGAAACAAGTCAGCTCGTGTAACACACCGTGTGGTTCGTGTACCGTACCACAGACACGTTATAGAGCTACACGTGTACACGTGAGGGAGACAAAATAAAAAATACGGAATAGAAGAAGCGTATAATAAAAAAATTAATAAGAAATGTAATTACAGTAATTGTTTCAGTGGGATCAGTTCCTGTTTGGCGATCTGTTTTCGATCTTGAGATATGATTCGCTGACGTCGGCGCATCCACTCGTCTTTCCAATAGGGTCGATATCGATAACGCATTCGACTAATTTACATACAGCAAGGTATATATAGATTCTGTTGTAGCCGCAGCTTAGTACTACATGGTAGTAGCTTAGTACATAGTTGGTGCCATTTGACTCAGCGCCGTTGACAAATAACCACTGCGACAAATATCCCATTATTGTGTTAAAGATAATTAAAGGTTATCATATTTCATTTATAATTTAAAGGTTGTATACGTATATATTTAGAATTTAACGCTGATCCTTATATATTTTCTAGGGCGGTAGTATGAATCGAATGATGCGGTACTATTTGGGAAACGAGACTTGGATCAAGGCTCTAAACGTAGGTATACGCTATATAACGTATAGTTCGTAGCTCTCTCTCTCTATATATATTGCATTATAATGCACGTTGTGTCCTGTTATATTCTGACGCCAACTTGTAACCGGCTATTAATTAAAGTTCACGCATAACAGACGCTGAGTCAATAAGAAGTCACTAAAGAAGTGCTAAGCAGGAGAAATTGTACGTGTGGAGGTTGCAGATGGTGGGAATGAGCGAAGGAAATATAGCGAGGGTTTTTCTCCCGCGCACGCACGCAGACGGCAACCGTCGGCAAGGACCTTCCGATTGTTTCCTACCGCGAAGGCCATCGATATCTGGACGGGAGCGTGCGCCACGTTTGTCTTCTGCGC